TATACGTTATATTTGATTGGGCTTGCATCCTGATTAATGGCAATACAATACTTGAACAGCTTAAATATCAAATACAATTTTAACATGACCTTATCCTTTCCCCTTCTAATGGTTCTGGCAATCAGAGTGTTTAAAAAGTAATTGCAAAACCGTTATTTTTAATCCTTGTCACGTTTTAAAAATTCATCTGTCGGTGACTTCTAATACGGAATAACTGTAGCATTCATATATAATTCATTCTGAAGTACGTTAGAATTCAATGACAATTTAAGCTATTAATGGTAGTAATAGACCATGAATATAATTAAGCTTGAACTCTCAAATGCTGTTTTAATGTGAAATTTCTAAGTTAAAATAAATTGCAGATTAAAAATAACTACACTAAAAGAATTACTCTTCAATATATTTTTATTTTTAGTTTATCAATATTAATTTTTAAACCAACCAAAAATGAACCTAAATATGTTTTAGATACAAATAACCGAAAGGTCCACTGATTAACTAATAAGATAGTATAATACATACTCCAAGTACCGAAATGTATGTCATCATGTCGGGATTCAATAAATAATAACATATAATTGAACTAACAAAAAATGCATTATATTTGTATTATATTTGCAGCACAAATCACATTACACATAGAAAAGATAAAACAATTAATTAATGTTCAAAAGATAAAAAAAAGTTAAAAGTAATGGAGTTTGTTATTTATCTGTATAAATGAAATTCTTCTTTAACTTATACAGTACCAGCAATTTCATAAATTTGATTACAAATTTATAAAAACTTCTGCATCTCTCAAATAAATTTTTTTACACTTGTTTGGCGGAAGTCATATCCATGTCATATGTGACGGCCAAGATAATCCATAACCTCTGAGAAAAATGAACAATGCATGTTCGTGGAAACCAAACAGACTTATTGACTGGAAGATATTTGAATGCAAACTAATAATATATCCATCTCTCAACATATTGATAACTACATATCACTTACTCTCCTGAAAATCTTTGAACAATGTTCTTGTCTTTCCTAAAATTTGCTGTGGTTGGGAAATGTCATACATTTTTTTTGTAATGCTGATATGTGATCCACAGCTTCTGTTCTACAGTATATTAGAACACTGACTGACAATTAGCTAATGGTCAAATATAAGCTGTTTGATGACAATACTAGTTAACACTGACAGTATGCTATTAAAGATATTACAGTATATAGCATTTAATGACTATAGTATAAAATTTAATAATTACATTAATAAACTTCTATAGCTATGTTCACTTCTAAACATGTGACATGCCCAAATATGGTGATGATGACATCACATCATGACCATATATAGACACATTATGACTATATATGGGCATACAACAGAGTTTTGATAGTCTGGACAGAGCTATAATACACAGTTCATTGAAAAGAGGGGTTTTTTTAATTTTTTTTTTGACTGATTTACAAACTGTTTACTAAAAAAATTCTTATATTGATTTGTACAAGAGTCTAGAGTATACTAAAAATAAGTACTGCAAAGTACACTATAGCTATAATAGGTATACATTAATTTATAAGAAAATATTTAATAACTTTAAGTTAAAAAATATAAGTTTTGCCTATTTGTCAAAAACTTGAGTTATAGTTCCATGGTGTGAACATGGATTTAGTTTACAAATTAACACATTGTCTCATAATTGACAGGTGCTCATCCTATTGATGGATGAGAATAAAAGAAAATAAATAAAAATATTCAAAATATTTAAACAGGAAACAACCATCGCAATAGAGCACACCATGAAAAAAAAAAGGTCCAACGAAAAACAACGAAGCAGAAAAAAACTTACAAACAAATGACTGTGTTTAGGCTTCCTAGCGTCCATCACCGCGTAGAGACAGCTCTGAGAGCCGTTACCTAACTGTTTCTCATCTTTGCTTGCTACGGAATGTCATCTGCGTCTCAGACAGTTCAATATATTCACAGGCATCAAGAACATGGACAAATCCCGTGCTGATTACGAAGACTATTATGTATTCAGTTACAGTCATCTAATCAATGAGACTGACCGAGGAATGTCACAATTGCTAATTATTTCCTATGTCAATAAATTACAGACACTCATTCCCAAATGGAAAATAAATCAAATGGAAAGTATGGTGGAAAAAATACTACAGTACAGATACAAATACAGTATATTAAAATAAAATTGCTTATGACCAGTCATGTATGCATACACGTAGACACATTCTTTGAGAGAATGAAAACCTGTGTATAGTTACACAAATAATCATACATTTGTATCAGTATAATATTCTCTTTAAAAAAGTATATTAAATTTCTACGCATGTTTCCTTCTCGCATTTATTATTCCTCATATTACTTTTATTCTTAAATGTGGAGCATGTATAAAAAATAAGTCAAATTTGCATTTAGTGTACTACCCAGAAGGAAGTTCACTAAATACATTTGGCGTTCTCACAAAATTAAATCATTCAATCGACCAATCAATCAATCAATCAACATCTACAACAGAATACAATTTTCAGTGGCACTATGACATTGGCATTTCTCAAAGTGTACATTATAAGATTACTTAGATGAATTAAATGTTTCATTATTCCACACATTCATCACTTAATATACTGTACAGAACATGTTGAAAATATTCAGAGCACTAATAACTTGTGTATCATCATAGGCTATGGCATGTTTGCCTGGTGACATTCATTTGTGAAAATAAAGGTTTACAATCGGATAAGCAAAGAGGGCGACAGGCAAGGTCAACCACCTTGAAGTATTATTATAATTAGACCGACATAAGTCTATGATGGCTTCTATTTATTAGGTATTCATTAATGAATTGCCTGTACACAAACTCACTACAGTATAATCAGATCACCATGGAACAGATGGAATATACTAGAAATGTTTTTACTGCGAAGCACATAAATTGATCATCTATAATTACAGTATCAAGGCATTATATTATTACACTATTGAAAGAAATCTGACATGGGCTTGTGTAATGCAGTGGTGGATTCAAAGGGGGGGGGAGCCCCAGCTGGCTCAGCATCTCCCTAATTTTTTCAAAATAAAAAAAAATGAGAAAAATAAAGTAAATTCTACTTAAATGTTTAGTCTAAGAGTGCCATTTCCTGCCATCTAGAGGTGCCATAATCATAAATTTTCTTACCTCAGCCCTATCCATGGTGGGGTTGAGGTAGTATAGACCTCCATCTATGAAAGTCCCTCCTTAGGCCCCCTCTATTTCAAATTCCTGGATCCGCCACTGTAATGGCTAGTGTGTACAACCGGAGGTGCCCCAGGGCTGGATACAAGAATGCCCATTTTTTAATTCTGACAACCTCCCCAAATCCTCTAACATCCAAAAAATAAAAATATATAAAGCTACAATGCACATTGTAGCACATTACTGCATAATATATATATTCCATTATTAGGATCTAATGCAGCCGTCAGTTATATGACCCCGAGAAGGGTGTGTCACTTGGAGGTCTATACTACCTCAACCCCACCATGGATAGGGCTGAGGTAAGAAAATTTATGATTACAATGCACACTCATTATATTATGATGATGAGACAATGAACAGGTAGTTGCTCTAGTCTAGTTGTGAATCGTTTAATTGTCCTGATAAAACAATAAGATTCCTTAAAAGTGAAACATCCAAAAAATGAATAAAACAAATAGATAATTGTTGATGTACTGAAAAATAGCTGATACAGAAATAGCAATAATGCTTGGTGCATTGTGTGGTGGTTTTTATATTTGAAAAATTACAGATTTTTTTGTTTAAAGGCCAATACAGGAAAGAATCACAGAACCGTAGGGAAAAAAAGGGTTATAGGAAGTATGACAATTTCCGGGTCCAGTCATTCACCTAGCCTTGTCTTGTGGTTTACAGCTACAAAAAATTAATAGTAAATTGTCATAAAATGCTCCCCATCTTACAGAGTCCCAAGTTGGTGGAGTGAAATTTCTGGGTAATTTGTCACTGTCATTTATTGAAGTATAATTTCTGGGTACTGTTTTTGGTTTATTAATTATGCATGTTAATTCAACATGTGTCACGCCGTTACCAAATGACATCACAAATATTTAACAGAAACAGTAGTTTTTGTAAGTGGGAAACAATAGGCAAAAAATGTTTAGTTTTTAATGAACTTAGGTGGTGATGGAAAGGCATGGAGTTATAAGTAGCCTATGAAAGAGCAAATGTTGTTGAGACAGCAATTTTTATTGCCTCTGCCAAGCGTGTATTCTTGCCCGCTTTTTGCATGGGTTGGTATATTTCAAAGGGCGCCCCCACCAATCGAGTGTACTACCAGCAAGATAACACAACAAACATACATCCGTTCTTTGTATGTTAATATCGTCTAGGTGTATCTTCCCCTAAATACCAGCCGTTAAGTCTGTGGTTTTATAATGTAACAAGGAAGTTATAAACACTAGAATGTTACACCGATTTTGACGAGTATAGTCGTCCCTGGCGCCCTCAGCAACACCCTGTGGGATGAGTATACTCGTTTGTCGCTTGCAGCCAATGTGTTAAAAATACACGTTCTCTGATTACCTAAGAAAGCTTTAAAACAATCAATTGCATGTAAACATTGTAAAAAAGATTTTTTGTCCACAATGAAATGATGCAATAAATACTACAGTAATTTCTTAACATGGACCAGCCTCTGCTGTTTGTGGACAAACAAGAGTAGCTGGACTAGTTTACAGGGTAGCTCAGACATGCAGAGACCCTTAGGGAAGAAGAATCTTACTGTATGAGTTAGTCCACGTTTCGAGCACTCTGATTTTCATGAAATAGATATGTATGTATGGGAAATAAATAAGGAATTTTATAGTAAAAGTAAAACAAAAACAAAAAAAAAACCCCAAAAAAACTTTTTATCGTTTTTAATGAGTTTAAATGTATTAAATTAATTACAAAGGCATGTTATCAAGATTTTAACAGTATTTTAAGTGAACTTACCAATGAAGCACTTAACTGATGTGATAAGACTGGATAATGGTGATGTGTTTTAATAGGTGAAGTTAATTCCAACAATGTTTGCCTGGGAAATCCTTCCTCCTCCCTGAAGTAAAAAAGGTAGTTAATTAATTATGGTGAAGAATCACAACAACAATCACCATATGTGAGACACTATAGAACACCAAACTCTGTCGTGTTAAAAACAAAAAGTATATCAAAATTACTGTTCCCATAATTAGATGTTTTCCCTTTTTGGTGCATTCTGCATTCATTAGCTATCAAGTAAAGATCTTCAGTTGATGCCTGATTGTGTTTTTTTCATTTCATATTTACATATCAATTTGACATTACAAGAAAAATAAACTATGCTTTTAATATACGTATACATTATGCAAGATGCAATCACATTGATAGATGGGGCAAATTCTGAATACTTTGCCCTATAGATAATTTTTTAAATACAGATGTATTTTCAAGAGGTTTTCATTAACAAGAAAATAAGAATTGTACATTTTTTGTGCCTTTGTATTGATCCTTTTATATATATTCCAATATTCCCTTGTAAAATAATATTGATAAATTAATATTGTAAATATATTATGCAATATTTACAATTTTTAAAAATTTATTTAATTGAAATTCTTAATTTAAATATTTTGTAATAGGTTTGTTTTTTCATGATATTTTTATTTTAAATTTTTCTTAATTTTCCCCCCCGAGAATTGATGTGTTTATTTTTCTTACCGATTCTGTAGTTGTAGTAGTAGTTCTGTAGCTTTTCTAAGACAGTGATTTAGATTTGCATTTAAATAAATCCTCTGGCCCTGTTTTATGTTACTGTATTTTATATTGCATGTCAAACCTTGCTGAAGTTACTGTACCGTAATTCCTCGAATAAGCACCGCACCAAACATGATTTTTTTTACTAAGCGGTGCTTATTCTAGATAATTCCATTTTAAATAAGCGCTGCGGTACTCAACTGTATTATAATTACCCTGCGCGTAATGAAACACTTTGATTAAGAAACAGGGTTTTAATAATGTATAGAGTGTAAATAAAAAAATAAATTAAAAATGTTTATTTATGATGATGTAATTCAATTGTAGCGCCTATTACTATTATAAGTAGCGAACTATGGGAACACGTGAGATAGGTGACATGGGTACGGTCATGGAAAGCACTATGCCAATATATTTTTAAACGCACTTGAACAAGCGCTGCACTGCAGTCTAGGCCTAAGGATAGGAAGCCTTTTAAAGACCTAGGGCCTAGCTAGGCCTAATTTAATTAGCCTAATGGTAATATCTGTTTGCGTCTGGAAATAATAAGATAAAATGAAAAAAAAAAGATGGAAACGTAATAATAATTATATACATACAAGCAGGCTTAGTTTTTGCTAGCTAGTCTTAGCTATGCATTAACACTACTAGGCCTAGGGCCTAGGCTAGCTAAAGTAGAAAGAGGCTAGTAACATAGTGCGCCGCCCTACCCTAGGCCTAGCTAGGCCTCAGTGCTAACCGACGTCCCCTTTGCAACCCAACACAGCAAACACTGGCGAACACAGTGGAAGGTATACAAAGTTCATAATACAACGAAACGACTAATGTAGCTTATTAAAAATACGGGATCTACGGATACTCAAGGTATTTAACTGCTAACACATTAGGCAAAATATTCATTAATGAGACGATAAATAATGGTATATTTAATTACCTTTTCAATTCTTCCGCCATCTTTCGCTAAGATAGCAACCGCTGCTAAAAAGCGCCCTCGATTTTCAAACAAATTCTAATCTTACAATTATTGCTTTACGTCGTGAGAGGGCGGTATAGTCAAATAGTTCAATGACCTGGGGAGAGCCCCTGGGAGAACCAGGGGAATACCCTATTTTGTTGCTATTCGGTATTAGGCCTATTATCAGAATTCATGGTCAATCTATTTAAACTATTTAAGAAAACGTAATTACAGAATTGTAATTAAAGTCTACTTACAATCCGGATGCATATAAATACTTCATCAACTGTTAGGCCTGTCTACATATCATTTTGCATGAATAAAGTACCAAAGAAATGACATGAACAGTGTATAAAAAACAAAGGCGCTCTAATTAGGGGAATCCCCATCATTTTCCAAGAACACTTGAGTTTTCATTTCCAATGTAATAGATCTGTGCATAGTGTAATGCTTATAGCTCCAATCGCATAGTTTCAGTCGCTATAGAATTTTATGAAACCGCTGTATATTTGATGTTGTCTTAGCTGTGCACAGCAATGATGTACAATATAAACAGGATAAATTCAAAGATGAAGGATGAGACTAGGCACAATGAAAAAAAGAAAATGAAGAATACCTGCCTATGGATTAGCAATAACATAATTGCCTTGCTTCAAAATAGCATTGAAGAACCTAGTTCCAAGAAGGGAAACAAATGCGGTATCGTAAGTAGCTATTCAATAAACTATTCATATTTTTCATAGGTTTATTTATGTTACTTCGTAATGTTAGGATATTTCTATGAGAAATTTGTCAATTCTTTAATTAATGATCTCAACTTTTGGAGAGAAAGAAAAACGAGCTGTTGTGTGAAAATTCAGAAATAACAGTGACAAATTGTCAATTTAGTTGTTGCAAAATATTAACAGAAAAGTACGTTAATGTACATTCTATATGAAATGTGTTTTATTGGCCTTAACACTGACGGCGTTTCAGGTTAAAAAGGTCAGCAGTAAATCCTATTCAGTGGCGTATTAAACACTGGGGCGCGGCCTTATTGGGGCCGTTCAATGGGCCTATAAATCTAAAAATATAACTTTAAAAATCACTACTTAAATTTTAAATAGACTTCCTCAATAATATTAGGTTTTAGAGGCCATAATTATATTTATTACAATTTATCTATTACGTGCCACTAAACTGTAAGATAACATTTTACAAAATTCAGACATAAACAGCTTTGTATCTGTTGAAAACATTCAAGGCTATTTTCTTTCATTCAGGTATAGCGACCTCGTACCACGGTGCCATGCACTAACATACGGTACTTTTTAAAACCATTTTCTAAAGCAATTGAAATGTCGGCAAGTACGTTTTTGTTTGATATACAGACAGATACAGATACAGATAACATTATTGTCATCAAAATACAGCATTATCATACTTCATCGTGTTAGATTTACTTCACTGCAATTAGGACACGTGTTGTCAATATTATGAAATAATGCCCAATAGGCCCTAAATGAATAAATATATATGACTGACCATATATTATGTTGTTCTGAATATCCCTCAAAGAAAGAAAAGCCAGGTAAACATGCGTTTTAAAGATGCGTGTACTGCTACTCAAAATGTAAAAAAAAACAAAAAAAAAACCTCCAAAATTGAATTAAAAAATTTAAATTTGCTCATTTTAAAAGCACAGGAGTTATCAGCATTCAATAAGTCATAAACCGAAAAAAAAAATGAAATGATTCACATATTATTTTACTACAAAAATTCTTAAATTTGCTGCAAGAAATCTATGGGCATAAACAAAGACGTTGATTTTTTTTTTCTCGTTCGAATTTTTCAATGGATTTATCGTATGACTAGTGTGCAATTAATTATTAACTTTCGATGAATTCATTTTGTTATGAAACTTGCTACGAACCGGAAATATAATGCAATGAATGAACGCTTTTATTGGTCTGTTAATAATTTTCAATTAAAGACTTAACTTGCATCATAAAGACCACAGAATACAACCAATTCAAGTATTGACTTTGATTGTTTAAGCTTTTTGGCTTAACACTGACAATATAATTTTGTTTAGGCAGGCTTATTGTGCCTATTACATCATTTTGTATTGAATTATATGTTTCTCTTTATTTGTATTGTGTGGAAAGGGAAATAAAAGAATTGGGTTTTTTTTGTATGTTATAACAACTACATTAAAATAAATATATTATCTTTGAAGATCGTATGTTTAACTAATATCATTTAAATAATAAATATACAGTAATTATCTATCTCGAAGATCGTATGTTTAATAAATTTAAATAGTATATAGCAATGATCTAAACACTATATATATTTGAGTACACTTTTAGCTTTAAATTAAAAAAAAAAAAGAAAAAAAAAAGGGTACTTATCTCACAGAGCCTAGGTCTGTAGTTATGCTTAACAGACGCATTAATAAATCAATTCTCTTCTTTAAGACCTTTAAAATTGGATGGTGATATGATTTTCTTAGTAAAGTCTCTGTACTGTCTACGAAACTGAAACAGATAGCCCGATTGTATTCCATTATCCATCCCACGTTTTTCAGAGTACAATATTAATATATAATTATTACTGTAATAGACATGTGAAAGGATCTGTGGCCTCGTATATAAAAGAATTAACATAACAAAATTATTTATCATGAAAATAATAATAATTTATTTGAACATAAACTAACAGTGGCACGCAATAATCTGACGAACCAAAATCGTGTGACACAGTAGCATATAGGCCCCTATGCATACCAAAATAAACATTATTAACAATACAATTAAAACATAGGTATAAACATTAATCAAATGCCCATTAGGATTCCACCATTTCGTTATTTCCACCTCCTTCTCTTTTCGAGAATGAATCAACCCACACAAAACGTATATCAAAGATTCCAAGAATGTTATAAATTCCATTCAAACAGGTATACTTTTGCTTTCTTAGAAGTCGTATCATAAAAACATAACATTGAAGTGAGGTTGTCCCATTGTTGTAATTTGACATTTAAATCTAATTCCTTCTATAGTTTATGCTAAAAAATAAATAAACAAATAAATAAATAAATTAGCCTACATACGACTTCAGGTTCATTTAAGCAGATGAGTGGGCATTAAAATTGGTCGGAGGGCCAAAGTGAATTTTTTATTCAACTCCGAGGGCCGCGCCCAAACTTTGATGTGTCAGTGCACTTCCAAAAACCTTCATACACTGTTTTATGGCAACTTTATGCTCAGTTTTACTACTAGTTTTTACAGGTGATTGGTGCCGGGCCGCAAAAAACAAGGTGTTTTCTAGCCAAAGATGGTTGGCGGGCCGCACACATAGGGCTTGTAATTCATTTCCGCGGGCCGCAAAAGAATCACTGGCGGGCCGCACTTTGCCCACTTGTTACTTAAGGTAATTAATATATAATCACTTTATAAGGACAAATATATATATATATATATAT